GGACTATTTTGGGGCACATCCAGGGTGTTAGTGGACTGATGTGGGTGGCATCCTGGTATTAGTGGACTGATGTGGGTCACATTCTGAGTGTTAGTGGACTGGTGTGGGTGGCATCCTGGGTGTTAGTGGACTGGTGTGGGTGGCATCCTGGGTGTTAGTGAACTGGTGTGGGTGGCATCCTGGGTGTTTTGTGGACTGGTTGTGGGTCACATCCTGGGTGTTAGTGGACTGGTGTGGGTCACATCCTGGGTGTTAGTGGACTAGTGTGGGTCTCATCCTGGGTGTTAGTGGACTGATGTGGGTGGCATCCTGGGTATTAGTGGACTGGTGTGGGTCACATCCTGGGTGTTAGTGGACTAGTGTGGATGGCATCCTGGGTGTTAGTGGACTGGTGTGGGTGGCATCCTGGGTGTTAGTGGACTGGTGTGGGTGGCATCCTTTGTGTTAGTGGACTGGTGTGGGTCGCATCCTGGGTGTTAGTGGACTGGTGTGGGTCACATCCTGGGTGTTAGTGGACTGGTGTGGGTGGCATCCTGGGTGTTAGTGGACTGATATGGGTCACATCCTGGGTGTTAGTGGACTGATGTGGGTCACATCCTGGGTGTTAGTGGACTGGTGTGGGTCACATCCTGGGTGTTAGTTTACTGGTGTGGGTCACATCCTGGGTGTTAGTGGACTGGTGTGAGTCACATCCTGAGTGTTAGTGGACTGGTGTGGGTAGCATCCTGCGTGTTAGTGGACTGATATGGGTCACATCCTGGGTGTTAGTGGACTGATGTGGGTCACATCCTGGGTGTTAGTGGACTGGTGTGGGTCACATCCTGGGTGTTAGTGGACTGGTGTGGGTCACATCTTGGGTGTTAGTGGACTGGTGTGGGTGGCATCCTGGGTGTTAGTGGACTGGTGTGGGTGGCATCCTGGGTGTTAGTGGACTGGTGTGGGTGGCATCCTGGGTGTTAGTGGACTGGTGTGGGTTTACATCCTGGGTGTTAGTGAAAATGGTGTGGGTGGCATTTCCCGGGTGTTAGTGGACTGGTGTGGGTTTACATCCTGAGTGTTATGGACTGTGTGAGTCACACCTGATGTTAGTGGACTGGTGTGGGTCACATCCTGGGTGTTAGTGGACTGGTGTGGGTCACATCCTGAGTGTTAGTGGACGGTGTGGGTCGCATCCTGAGTGTTAGTGGACTGGTGTGAGTCACATCCTGGGTGTTAGTGGACTGGGGTGGGTCACATCCCGGGACAAAAACTGACCTAATTTTTCGGGAAATGCTCAGCATAACAAGTGACTTTATATAAGTCCCTATGTTATTGATGTCAACTATGGTCTGATACCTTGTACATGTACTTGTATACCTTGTTAAAATGTACTTGTATACCCTTTTACATGTACTTGTATACCTTGTACATATACTTGTATACCTTGCAACATGTACTTGTACACCTTGTACATGTACTTGTATACCTTGTACATGTACTGGTATACCTTGTACATATACTTGTATACCTTGCACATGTTTCTTGTACACCTTGTACATTACTTGTATACCTTGTACATGTACTGGTATACCTTGTACATTACTTGTATACCTTGCACATGTACTTGTACACCTTGTACATGTACTGGTATACCTTGTACATGTACTTGTATACCTTGTACATGTACTTGTATACCTTGTACATGTACTGGTATACCTTGTACTTGTATACCTTGTACTTGTATACCTTGTACATGTACTTGTATACCTTGTACATGTACTTGTATACCTTGTACATGTACTGGTATACCTTGTACATGTACTGGTATACCTTGTACATGTACTGGTATACCTTGTACTTGTATACCTTGTACATGTACTTGTATACCTTGTACATGTACTTGTATACCTTGTACATGTACTTGTATACCTTGTACATGTACTTGTATACCTTGTACATGTACTGGTATACCTTGTACATGTACTGGTATACCTTGTACTTGTATACCTTGTACATGTACTTGTATACCTTGTACATGTACTGGTATACCTTGTACATGCACTTGTATACCTTGTACATGTACTTGTATACCTTGTACATGTACTTGTATACCTTGTACATGTGGAAATAAATGGTATAAAATACCGACACAATGGCAAATATAAACACAAATGCAGTATAATGTGATCCTTTATTGACAACGTTTCACCCACACAGTGGGCTTTTTCAAGTCACACACGGATCTACCTGGAGTTGGAAGGTACGAGAGTATTTATAGGCAGGTTCAGAATGTTGAGGTCAGGTGGAGAATGCTGCATCTGATGATCTACCGGGTGGGGTTATAGAGTCTTGGGTAGCTTGGCAGGGGTATTGGACAAGTTGTAGACCTTCTGCAGTGTTCTATGTTCTTATGTGGGATAGCGATGAAGAAGTTCTGGCAAGTGGTTCAGCTATGTTATAGAAGCGTTGTTCTGGTTGAAATTGTTGGTTGTAGAGATGAGCGATGATTCCAGGATTCTTCTGTATTGAGTGTTGTCTTTCTGTGGCTATAAGTCTTGAGTTTCTGTAGTTAATTAAATGGTTGTGTGAATTGCGATGTTGTACACAGGCATTCCTTGTATCGTCAGTCCTGCTTGCATATTGGTGTTCTGAAATACGTTTTTGGAGGTCTCTTGATGTTTCGCCCACATATAATTTGTTGCAGTCATTACAAGGGATTATGTATACCCCTGCAGAGGATGGAGGCTTGTCCTGTCTACTACTGGTGATGTCCTTGATGGTCGTGGTTGTGGAGGTAGATACTTGGAATGATGTTTTCGCAAAGATGTTGGAAACATGTTTGGCAACACTCTTCCTTTCCTTGATGTTCTGCTCTGCAAAGCTGACCACGAACTTCGTTTTAAAGTCTATCGAAAACCCACCAACCAAAACGATCTTCTCCACTTCTACTCTCACCACGACACCAAAACTAAACGTGGTGTAATTATAGGCTTCTTCCTACGTGCACTCAGAATCTGCAGCAATGAGTTCCTTGAGGAAGAATGCACTATAATTGAACAAATATTTTCTAAACTCCACTATCCTCGTCACTTCATCAGAGACTGCAGACGGCGGGCATTAAACATCTTCAACACACCCAGAGAAGACACTGCCGAGAAGAGATACATAGTCCTCCCAACCAACTCCATTGCCAAACATGTTTCCAACATCTTTGCGAAAACATCATTCCAGTATCTACCTCCACAACCACGACCATCAAGGACATCACCAGTAGTAGACAGGACAAGCCTCCATCCTCTGCAGGGGTATACATAATCCCTTGTAATGACTGCAACAAATTATATGTGGGCGAAACATCAAGAGACCTCCAAACACGCATTTCAGAACACCAATATGCAAGCAGGACTGACGATACAAGGAATGCCTGTGTACAACATCGCAATTCACACAACCATTTAATTAACTACAGAAACTCAAGACTTATAGCCACAGAAGACAACACTCAATACAGAAGAATCCTGGAATCATCGCTCATCTCTACAACCAACAATTTCAACCAGAACAATGGCTTCTATAACATAGCTGAACCACTCGCCAAGAAACTTCTTCATCGCTATCCCACATAAGAACATAGAACACTGCAGAAGGTCTACAACTTGTCCAATACCCCTGCCAAGCTACCCAAGACTCTATAACCCCACCCGGTAGATCATCAGATGCAGCATTCTCCACCTGACCTCAACATTCTGAACATGACTATAAATACTCTCGTACCTTCCAACCCCAGGTAGATCCGTGTGTGACTTGAAAAAGCCCACTGTGTGGGTGAAACGTTGTCAATAAAGGATCACATTATACTGCATTTGTGTTTATATTTCCACCTTGTACATGTACTGGTATACCTTTTACATGTACTTGTATACCTTGTACATGTACTTGTATACCTTGTACATGTACTTGTATACCTTGTACATGTACTTGTATACCTTGTACATGTACTTGTATATCTTGTACATGTACTTGTATACCTTTGTACATGACTTATTGTAATACCTTGTACATGTACTTGTATACCTTGTACATGTACTTGTATACCTTTTACATGTACTTGTATACCTTGTACATGTACTTGTATACCTTGTACATGCACTGGTATACCTTGTACATGTACTTGTATACCTTTTGCATGTACTGTATACCTTGTACATGTACTGGTATACCTTGTACATGTACTTGTATACCTTGTGCATGTACTGGTATACCTTGTACATGTTACTGGTATACCTTTTACATGTACTTGTATACCTTGTACTTGTATACCTTGTACATGTACTTGTATACCTTGTACATGTACTTGTATACCTTGTACATGTACTTGTATACCTTGTTCATGTACTTGTATACCTTGTACATGTACTTGTATACCTTGTACATGTACTTGTATACCTTGTACATGCACTTGTATACCTTGTACATGCACTTGTATACCTTGTTCATGTACTTGTATACCTTGTGCATGTACTTGTATACCTTGTACATGTACTGGTATACCTTATACATGTACTTGTATACCTTGTACATGTACTTGTATACCTTGTACATGTACTTGTATACCTTGTACATGTTCTTGTATACCTTGTACATGTACTGGTATACCTTGTGCATGTACTGGTATACCTTGTACATGTACTGGTATACCTTATGCATGTACTTGTATACCTTGTACATGTACTTGTATACCTTGTACATGTTCTTGTATACCTTGTACATGTACTTGTATACCTTGTACATGTACTTGTATACCTTGTTCATGTACTTGTATACCTTGTTCATGTACTTGTATACCTTGTACATGTACTTGTATACCTTGTTCATGTACTTGTATACCTTGTTCATGTACTTGTATACCTTGTACATGTACTTGTAGCAGTAGCTAGTAGTAGTAGTATAGTTATTATTAGTACTAATATTTTTAATATTATTGCTATTATCATCAGTATCATTATTACTATTTGGTACAGTTCAAGATGTCTCCACCGTCCTGCCTCTCACTGCTGACAGTAACACTAATCGCCTTTCTTCCAAATGTAAGTACCTTTATATACATATACAGTGGACCCCCGGTTTAACGATATTTTTTCATTCCAGAAGTATGTTCAGGTGCCATTACTGACCGAATTTGTTCCCATAAGGAATATTGTGAAGTAGATTAGTCCATTTCAGACCCCCAAACATACACGTACAAACGCACTTACATAAATACACTTACATAATTGGTCGCATTGGGAGGTGATCGTTTATGCGGGGGTCCACTGTACTACATACATGTATTCGTAATATCAACTCAATCCATTACTCATGGTTGTCATCACACTCTGCACGTCTCACGACGCTGGCAGCTCTACAACTGTTCTCCCTCAATCATAATAATCTTAATCCTTTAGTTTCCCGGATGAAAAATTTGTGTTACGAAAATTTCTTATACAGGTTGGTGTCACTTTACGAAGCTTCGCTTTACAGTGTTTCGCTAAATGCAATGGTTTTCAGTTATATCCATTCTTCATTTATTCAGACTTCCTACAATAAATATATTTACCACTCACTATAAGCTAAGGACGAAAGTATATTAAGGTAAGAAATGTGCGCTGTACATGAATTTTTAGTCGAGTTCTGTTGCTCACTTAAATGATAATGTAAACATGTTACAGTGGACCCTCGCCTAACGATATTAATCCGTTCCTGAGAGCTCAACGTTAGGCGAAATTATCGTTAGGCGAATTAATTTTCCTCATAAGAAATAATGGAAATCAAATTAATCCATTTCTGACACCCCAAAGTATGAAAAAAAAAAATTTTTTTACCACATGAAATATTAATTTTAATACACACAAACTGAAGAAATGCACAGTTACATGACACTTACCTTTATTGAAGATCTGGTGATGATTGATGGGATGGGAGGAGGGGGGAGAGTGGATGGTCTTAGTGTTTAGAAGGGGAATCCCCTTCCATTAGGACTTGAGGTAGCAAGTCTTTTTCCGGGGTTACTTCCCTTCTTCTTTTAATGCCACTAGGACCAGCTTGAGAGTCACTGACTTCTGTCGCACAACACATCTGTCCATAGAGTCCTGTACCTCTCGTTCCTTTATGACATTCCTAAAGTGTTTCACAATATTGTCAGTGTAATAATCAATAGGCTTCAAATTTCACACTATTACTAAGTGATGATTTGTATAGCAATTGGTTTCCATGTGATAACCTTAAAAAGCTTCTGTATTATTATTATTATAATCAAGGGGAAGCGCTAAACCCGGAGGATTATACAGCGCCTGGGGAGGGATGTGGAAGGCATTCAGGCTTAATTCAAGGAACTGGAGCACAGATCCAATTTCCTAAATCAAGAGCCCCTCACCAACATCAAGGAACCTTCCTTGAGGGGAAAAAGCTTCTGTAGACTGGCTTTCAATACTTGTGTATCCTGCCTAGAAGAATGTGCTTGTTAATCCTGTTTAGAAGTGTCATTTTGACACTTTTTTTCTCTCAAAATGGTATGATATTTTGTATCAAATAGGGGAAGGGGGAGATATCCTTGATGCTGGTGAGGGGTTCTTGATCCAAGGGACTGAATTTACCCTCCCCTTGAAACAAATCTGAAAGCATTCATTCCCCAAACTTTATGGGACCTTCATGGGTTTAGCACTTCTCTGATTAAAATTCTCTTTCAACAAACCAGCCGTATCCTTCCACCGAAGCAGGGCGACACAAAAAGAAAAACGAAAATTTCACTTTTTAACTTTAGTAATGTATACAGGAGAAGGGGTTACTAGCCCCTTGCCTGTGGCATTATAGTAGTGTCTTATGTATAGTATATATAAACATGCAAAATATCCAGAGGGAAGAATTGTGAAATTCCAAACACCTGTGATTTCTCACATTATCAAGACAATCATTATTCCTTGATATATTGAGAAATCATGAAAACACTTGGAATTTCTCAACTTTTTCACTGATTATTTTGCATATTGTGGTATCACCTGTTTACTGTGATCTCACTGCATCACTTACATGTAGATATATGTTCTTGCACTACCAGGCTCCTCTTCCACAGGGAGCAGTAGTCCACTGACTGGTGGCAGCATCTTTGGTATCACTCTGGCTGTGGTGTTGGTGGCAGCCATTTTTGGATACACAGCTTACACCTACTTGAAGAAGAAACCAAAACTTGCTGGATACGGCAGCACTCTCCACTTCCAGAATGCTCTGTATTCCACTAGTAAGTTATGTGACAGGGATTTGCATTTTGAGCATAAGTCGACAAATATTGAATCAGACACATGGACAAGGTAACGTAGAGTAATGTAGACAGGGTAATGTGGACAGAGTGAGGCTCACTGAGTGACATTTTGCTCTTGGAGTGAATAGCACAATTGCAGTGATCCATATTCAAAATATAACCAGTGAAAAAAAATTGCAAAATCTCGAAGTGTTTTCATGATTTCTCACATTATCAAGGAAGACATAAGAAAGCTTCTGTAGAAGGCTTTTACAAAGTAGAAGTGATGCAAGGAGGGAGGAGTGTATGGAGAGAAAAAGAGGTTAAGAGAGTGGTGAAGCAATGTAAAAAGAGAGCAAATGAGAGTGGGTGAGCTCTTATCAACAGATTTTGTTGAAAAAAAAAAAAAGAAAGTTTTGGAGTGAGATTAATAAGTTGAGAGCCTAGGGAACAAATGGATTTGTTAGTCAAAAATAGGAGAGGAGAGTTATTAAACGGAGAGTTAGAGGTATTGGGAAAATCCAGGGAATATTTTGAGGAATTGTTAGATGTTGATGAAGACAGGGAAGCTGTGATTTTGTGTACTGAGCAAGGAGGAATAACATCTTGTAGGAGTGAGGAAGAGCCAGTTGTGAGTGTGGAAGAAGTGCATGGGGCAGTGGGTAGAATGAAAAGGGGTAAAGCAGGTGGAGATATAATTTTGGAGTGGTTAGTGCTGTTATTTAATAAATGTATGGAAGAGGGTGTGGCACCTAGGGAGTGGCAGAGAGCATGCAAAGGAGACAAAAGAGAGTGCAAAAATAATAGGGGAATAAATCTGTTGAGTATACCTGGTAATGCATATGGTAGTTATTATTGAAAGAAGAGCAAGACGGAGAATAGGATAGCAGATGAATAGGGAGGATTTAGGAAGGGTAGGGAGTGTGTAGACCAAGTGTTTACAGTGAAACATATAGGTGAACAGTATTTAGATAAGGGTGAAGATATTTTTGTGGCATTAATGATTTTGGAAAAGGCATATGATAGGGTGGATAGGGGAGAAATGTGGAAGATGTTGCAAATGTATGGAACTGGAGGTAGGTTATTGAAAGCAGTGAACAGTCGTTACGAGGATAGTGAGGCTCAGGTTAGAGTATGCAGGTGAGAGGGAGATTATTTCCTAGTAAAAGTAGGCCTTAGACAGGGATGTGTGGTGTCACCATGGTTGTTCAGTATATTTATAGTTGGAGTTGTAAGAGAAGTAAATGCTTGGGTGTTGGCAAGAGGTGTGGGGTTAAAAGATAAAGAATCTAATGCAAAGTTTAAGAGAGGTTGCAGAGGTTGGTTGATGAGTTTGGTAGGGTATGTAAAAGAAGAAAATTAAAAGTGAATACATGTATAGGAAAGAGTAAGGTGATGAGGATAACAAAAAAATTAGGTAACAGAAGAATGGGTATCAGATTGGAGGGAGAGAGTATGGAGGAGGTGAATGTATTCAGATATTTAGGGGTGGCCGTGTCAGCGGACGTGTCTATGAAAGATGAGGGGAAAAAGGTGAGTGGTGCACTGAGGAATCTGTGGAGACAAAGAACTTTATCCATGAAAGCAAAGAGGGGAATGTATGAGAGTATAGTTATATCAATGGTCTTGTATGGGTGTGGAACATGGGTAGTGAATGTTGCAAAAAGGAGAAGGCTGGAGGCAGTGGAGATGTCATGTCTGAGAGCAATGTGTGGTGTGAATATAATGCAGAGAATCCGTAGTTTGGAAATTAGGATGAAGTGCAGGATTACCAAAACTATTATCTAGTGGGCTGAAGAGGGTTGTTTGGACATGTAGAGAGAATGGAACAAAATAGAATGATTTAGTGTATAAATCTGTAGTGGAGGGAAATCAGGGTAAGGGTCGGCCTAGGAAAGGTTGGAGGGAGGGGGTAAAGGAGGTTTTGTGTGCGAGGGGCTTGGACTTCCAGCAAGTGTGCGTGTGTGTGGGGTTAGATAGGAGAAAATGGAGACAAATGGTTTTAGGACTTGATATGCTGTTGGAGTGTAAGCAATTAACATTTGTGAAGGGTTTCAAGGAAACAAACAGGCCGGACTTAATTCCTGGAGATGGGAAGTATAGTGCCGGCACTCTGGAGGAGGAGTGTTTGTTGCAGTTTTATAACTGAAGTGTCAGCATGCCTCTGGCAAGACAGTGATGGAGTGAATGATGAAGAAAGTTTTTCTTTTCCGGGCAACACTGCCTTGGTAGGAAACGGCCAATGTGTTAATAAAAAAAATATAACAACATTATAAGAAGACTTATAAAGCTAAGATATGACCTCACACATTTCAACCTTTTAAGTTTCTGTCTTATTATTTTATTATTCCTTGATAATGTAAGAGATCATGAAAGCACTTGGAAATTCACTTTGGAATAACCACACCTGTTTACTGTGATCTTTTTGCTGCAATGAGCAATGTAAATGAACAAGTAAGTTGAGAAAGTGCTTCATAGAAAGTACGAACATGATGTGTGTAGTGAGCAAACTTGCATTTATAGTTCATCAGCACTTTTATGAAATTTAGTTCTTTTTAAACGGTTACCTTGATGCTGATAAGGGCTACTTCATCTAAGGAACTGGAGGTATCCTGCTTTTCCTCAGATAAAGCCTGATTGCAAATCATTTACCAGTTTACAAGTAAGATACATTTTGGGAGAGGAAACTTTTTGTTTCAGCTCATCACGACTTGAAAATTAACAGCAAAATGAAAAAAAAACAGAGGAGACCAGAAGACAGGTCAGGAGGAGGACAGGGAGGGAGTGGTAGTAATATTAGCAGTTGTGGTGGTAGTACTTGTAGTGGTGATGATTGTTGTAATGGTAGTAGTAGTATAAAAAAAGTGCTAAACCCACTAGGGCCATACAGCACTAATGGTAGTAAAAAAAAATAATATATTTATTATAATCAAGGTAGGTGCCAAGCCCAATGGGGTCACACAGTGCCAAGTAATAGTCATAAAAATCTTGCTCCTTCTAGCAAGTTCAAAGATAAATGGGGATCTAACTTTGTCTCCTCTATTTTAATTTTCATGTCCACCTCTGACAGCCTTTTCTTATTTTTGTTAATGCAAGCCTAATGCTTGTTACCATGATCCTTCTGCAAAGAAAAGCTTCCTTGTTCCTCTCTTTCTATGTTCCCCGCTGTATCTGCACCTGTTTCTCGACTCTGAAGCTTCCACTCTTACAGCTCATTCTCTGGCCTTGGCTATCTTCCCTATTTCAAAAACTTTGTCTGCTTTCATGCTTAAACTTTTTTCTCTCCCAAACTTTTCCAGAAACTCCTGTTCCTTGCCTTTCCTATTTTGTCCATCTCAGAATTGAAGAACCTCTGACCGACTTACCCCTCAAGGAAGGTTCCTTGATGTTGGTGAGGGGCTCTTGATTTAGGGAATTAGATCTGTGCTCCAGTTCCCCAAATTAAGCCTGAATGCCTTCCACATCCCCCCCCCCAGGCGCTGTATAATCCTCCGGGTTTAGCGCTTCCCCCTTGATTATAATAATAATAATCTGACCGACTTAACACAATAGAAATGCTTACTTGCCATGTTGACACCATCAATGATCTTTTTTGTCATGTTAGAGATCACAGCTGTTGTATTACCTGGTCCTCTGAAGAAACCATCTACCCTTCTTGAATTCACAAACAAGAGTATTAAGGACTCTCAGAATTTTAATAACACGATGGCAAACAAATTGCGGAATGGAGTCTTAAAACTCACTGGCCAGCTGGCCCAGTGGTTAACACACTGGCCAGCTGGCCCAGTGGTTAACACACTGGCCAGCTGGCCCAGTGGTTAATGCACTGGCCTGTGAGTTTTAAGACTCACTCGCCATTGGTTCAAGGCCCTACTGGTTCTGTGACTTGAGACCTGAGCTTTGCCACTGTCACCTTTCCTTTCCTCTCAACCTATCTTCTGTTTTCGTTTGCCTCTCCTGTCTTCTTTCTCCTCTTGCTATCTTTTTCTTTCCTAGCATGGACCTACTGAAGTGCTCTTCCACCCCTAGACAGGTGTTAGTGTTGACCTACTTTGATCTCCACCTTGAGATATAACTCTCATTACTTTATCACTAATCCTGCCCAGAGTGGGCCAGTAGGCTTTCTGCACTGCTTCTCCACACTTTTTTTTTATTTACCATTACTACTAATTCTTTCACTACTACACCATTACTACCCTTACTGCTACTACCATATAGTACAGTGGACCCCCGGTTTACGATATTATTTCATTCCAGAAGTATGTTCAGGTGCCATTACTGAACGAATTTGTTCCCATAAGGAATATTGTGAATTAGATTAGTCCATTTCAGACCCCCAAACATACACGTACAAAAGCACTTACATAAATACACTTACATAATTGGTCGCATTGGGAGCTGATCGTAAACCGGGGGTCCACTGTATTTCCTTATTCCTCCACCTACTGTCTGGTCTTCTCTACTTTACCTGCTGTGTTGTAACTTGACAATGGCCCATGATCAAATGAAAAGTTGTCTAGTTTCCTCTACTGAGTGAAGGTAATTTTTGAATTATTCCAGTGAATTATGTTTACTTACCAGTGAATATATATTTCAGGAGTGCACGCTAAACCTGAAAGGGTTATACATTGATGTTATTACGTTCATGATTATTATTAAAATTAAGAAATCAAATCAGGGACTGGGTGGAGGCTTGAGTCCATGGCAGGTTCAAGTTATGGTGGGTTAAGTTGTTATTATACTCAAAATTAAGAGCTAAACCCACAAATTTGCGGCTTCAAGCAACACCCATTCCGTGATTTGCTTCCAATTGTATTACTGTTTTGCGAGTTGTTATAATTAAGGTTCATTCTGCAGGAGAAAACATAAGCATCACAGAGCCACTGGGTGCCGAGGCCACCATTGATATAGAAGACGGTAGTGTTCGTACACATGAATAAGAAGCAAGCCAACAGTGTCCAGTTATCATTCCATCAGATTTTTGTTTACAAATACTTTAATGGATATAGAAAAAAGTAATGATTTAACACAATATGCAATAAAATGTGAACTAATTTTAGGTGATTAAATTTAATATAAAGTGGATGGTCCTTGGATATAGTAAAAGTTATGACTTGTAAAGGAGTAATTTCTACTTAACCTTTTAAGAGGGTAACTTATTGTTTGAGAGCAAAAGAGGAAGAACTTAATGGATTCAAGATGCACTGAAACTGACACTAGTCACTTACAGCTGCTCAAAGTTTTTCTTCACAATTAGAGGTAAATCATTACCGTGGTTAACAAGAGGTAACTAGAGTCTTTTATGAAGACCGTCTACCAAATTATGTTCAGGATGCAATGCTGCATCACCCTTATGGGTTTAGAATTTAATTTGATTACAGTTTAAATTTCATTCAGGGAGCTCTCTGACCCATACATATGGAAGACACTTGTGAACGTTTAGTCCCCTCAAGGGAGGTTCCTTGATGCTGGCGAGGGGCTCTTGATCCAAGGAATTGAATCTGCTCAAGTTCCCTGAATTGAGTCTGAATACCTTCCGACTCAATTCAGGGATCTGGAGCACAGATCCAATTCCCTAGATCAAGAGCCCCTCACCATCATCAAGGAACCTTCCCAGAAAGTGTGTTAACTTGGTAGAGGGTCACACAAGGTATGGAGAATGGGTGGTAATCAGCTTTGGTCTGAGGAATGGGAGTATAGCTCCCATTCCTTACATCAAAATACCTTTTACCAGCATAAAGTTGCCTCCTCTACCTTTGAAGGCAACAGTGGCAGCTGTAACTGCTCCTGCTGTGCCCCTTCCACCCCAGCTGTAACTGCTCTTTTCCCTCCCCAGCTACTGTTGCTTGTTTATTATTTTAAGAAGGATAATGTAACTCAAGCATACAAATAACATTTAATAAAGATCTGCTGAAACATCTTTATTTTCCTATGCTATCAGTGCAGGCAGTTAAGTGTCTTTTCTAAATTTTTGATACAACTGCTTTCATAGCTATTTTCTCACCTTATGAACAAGCCTCCAACCTACAGTCTCAGAGCTGACTGGTTCATCACTCGCTACCAGACTGTAGCCTACTGTCCAGTAGTCGGTGATGCATCAGTGAATTGGAGAATGCTGGTTCAAGGTTTATCTGTGCCTTGAAAAACTTAAATCGTTTTTAAATTTTTCCCAACTGGTTTCATATTAGATTTCTGTACTGTGATCGTATGTTAGCCGAGTTGTGTGCTAACACCAACTACCATGTGCTCCTATAACAAATTCGTCTGGCAGTTTAAAACTAGGTAAAACAACTGCATCTCATCAACTCCTGACTAGATAATTGTTGTCACTATGAGCCCTATGTTGAAACATCATCATTGCTTATTTACCTTTAGATGAGCAGCAGCAGCTGCTGTAGTGCTGTGCACATCACCAATGTCACACGACAGCATAACATGGCTTAGTATTTATAAGCATAAAAAACAGGACGTATTAAATATTTACAATTCAGTCATTTTATCACTCAAACAAATGACTTTCCTTTGTTAGAAATGTAACCTTTAAGTACAGGCATCTTTAAAATTTAAGATCCTTTCAAAATAACTGTACAGAATGTGAAATGCCATGACATTACTAAATAATCATTCACATAAAAGAAAACTTGCATTATAGAGAAACTACAACTTCAATAAATTGAACACTGATCTAGCAAATATTATCAAACTTGTTCTTTTACCTTACTAAACTTATTACACAAGTGACTTGTCAATAAAAGTGATACAATGCTTGCACTTGAGAATGTCATCAATATTATGACATCATAACAGCTCAACAAGAACTGCAACAAAAATTAAATATATAATTAAAAAAATTATGGACAACAACTTTGAGATAATTTTAGCATCCAAGGGTGATGCCTTGATGCCAGTGAGGGACTCTTGATCCAAGGAACTGCTGCTATTCTCCCCTTTCCTAGATCAAATCTGATAACCTCCCAAATGCTAATGACCCCTACAGGCATAGCACTTCCCTGCGATGATGGTAATAGGAGAGCGCTGCTACTTGGGCATGAATGATTGACTGGTGAAGCCAAGACCAAAGCCTTTGTGGGTATGTGTGGCAATTCTTGCCATCTCGTACTGTCTCTCCATCGAGGTAAACATGGTCTCCTGTTTCTGCAGGATATCCATCCCAGGATTCTCTCTGCCACCGCTGCCGCCAACACAACTTTCCTTGTTCCCAGCCGGTGCACTTTCACCTGAAACAAAAATTAAGTATTTTACTTTGATAATAAATGTGACAAGTCTCTTATAGTTCACCAAAAGTTAAATTTTTTTATAACCTGCATTAAAAACATTCTTAATCAATCTACTGTTTATATCTATTCTTGCACTCTCATATGAACACCACTTCACAAGGGGGCAAACAATAACTTCAGTGAAGGGTTCCTCATTCAAGGAATCTGAGCTACCCTTCTCTTTCTTGGATCAAACCTGACTACCCCCCCCCCATGCCCTAGATATCAAATGATCTTTCTGGGCTTAGTCCTTTCCCATGAATACCTGTACAATGTATGACAATGGTGTAGACATTAGGCAGCCTTACAAGTCCCATTTCCACTAAGAAATGATTTCCATTTGTTCCCCCCCCATCCACCCACCAGAGGACATAGATGGCAGCTCAAGACAGACAAGCTATGAGGACATTAGAAAAATAATTCTTCAGTCAGGAAAATGTATAAAATGCACTAAATGAAGAAGTGGCAGAGGCAAACACTATACAGCTTTAAGAGTAGATACAATCAGGTCCAAGAGGCCAAACATCAATGAGACCAGCTGATAAGAGGAGCCAGGAGCTATAACTCGACCCCTTCCAACAAAATTACGAGAGCACACTAAGTGTGCTTTGCTCAATGCAGAAAAACTTTAATAATGTTCAACAACTTTTGCACACACACACCCACCCACACACCCACGTGCAACACGACAATACTAAGGAGTGGCGCCAGTTTCCATACCAAGGGCAAAGAAGCTACTGTGTGGTTCAATTGGGGGGAGGGGGGGGCTTGTTTTGAAACAGTTATTAATACTACTTTTATTAGGGGAGCTTTGGGGACTGATGGATTTGGGGGGAAAAGTACTGAGGGGCCACCTTGGTACCAGCACCGAGTACACTGCTCTCCAGTCCATGTTACCTTGGGTATGTCCCAATTACACAAATGCAACAATATACTACTTCACTACATTATATAACAAAACACACAGCCGTCAACAGTGCTTCATGACCATGGTTATAATGCTTCCCATTATAACAATACAGTGGAACCTTGACTTACGAGTGCCCCAATGTACAAGTTTTTTGAAATACGAGTCATCCCTGGGTCGATTTTTTGCTCTGAGTTACAAGCCAACGTTTGAGTTATGAGCCAGGTCCCCCTGCTTCCCCATCAATGCAAAACCTGGACACCTCGCTTGTTTATCTATGATTTCATGCTTTAAATCCATGGTAATCATCCTCTTTTTTTCCTCGGCACTGTCCTTTAGACTTACTTTCTTAGGACCCATGCTTAGAAAAACAAAATTTGGCCAAATGACTGTCAAAAATGTAAGCATAGCACGAGAGAATTGCTCCCACAGTGAGGTAAACAGTGCACTGAGTTGGCAGCGTTCGTTATAATAATAATATTATTATTATTACTATTACTATTATTATTATTATTAATTTAGGTAACTAGAGCACAGATCCAGTTCCCTAGATCAAGAGTCCCTCACCAGCGTCAAGGTTCCTCGACGCTGGTGAGGGGCTCTTGATCTAGGGAATTGGATCTGTGCTGTAGTTGCCTAAATTAATAATAATATAATAATAACGATAGAGCTTCAGTTCCCTAAATTAATAATAATAATAATACATAATACGCAAGTACAGTGGACCCCCACCTTACGAGTGCATAACGTTACGTTAAATCCGCCATACGAAGCATTTGAACGCAAAAATTCTGCCTTGCCTCACGATAAAAAACTCGCCTTACGTGATTCATCTGGGACGCGTCCCATATGTGGCCTCAGTGCCAGTGTTTACAAGCTAGCCAGTGCAGTTGCATCTACGCATACATTCGGTACATTTCACATTATCCCAGTGTTTTTAGCGCTTGTACCTGCACTACACTTACACTTAGGTCACACTACACATACATGTACAAGCATATATATACACACACACCCTTCTGGGTTTTCTGCTATTTTCTTTCTAGTTCTTGTTCTTGTTTATTTCCTCTTACCTCCATGGGGAAGTGGAACAGAATTCTTCCTCCGTAAGCCATGCGTGTTGTAAAAGACGACTAAAATGCCGGGAGCAAGGGGCTAGTAACCCCTTCTTCTGTATAAATTACTAAATTTAAAAAAAAAAAGAGAAACTTTTGTTTTTCTTTTTGGGCCACCCTGCCTTGGTGGGATACGGCCGGTTTGTTGAAAGAAGAACAACTGCAAAATAAGTTACCATGGACCCCAAGAAAGCTTCTAGTGCCATCCTTGTGGTAAAAAGGGCGAGAATTAGTATGGAATTGAAAAGAGAGATTAAGGAAATGTGTGCAAAGTGGGTTGAACTTCAAACCTTTATGGATGAAAATTGCCCTGACACAGCTACTGCAAGCCGTGTTGGCAACCTGTACAATGACAATGTTATGGCCCATTTTAGGAAAGTCTTAAAGGAACGGGAGGTACAGAGCTCTATGGACAGATTTGTTGTGCGACAGAGGTCCAGTGACTCTCAAGCTGGTCCTAGTGGCATTAAAAGAAGGGAAGTAACCCAGGAAAAGGACTTGCTACCTTAAGTCCTAATGGAAGGGGATTCCCCTTCTAAACAATAACTTCCACACACTCCCCTCCTCCCATCCCATCAATCATCACCAGATCTTCAATAAAGGTAGGTGTCATGTATTCTATTCTTAGTAGAGTAGTAATTGTGCATGTCTTTTTCAGTTTGTGTGTATTACAATTAATATTTCATGTAAAAATTTTCTTTTTTTTGTACTTTGGGGTGTCAGGAACGGATTAATTTGACTTCCATTATTTCTTACGGGGAAAATTAATTCGGCTAACGATAATTTCGGCTTACGATGAGCTCTCAGGAACTGATTAATATCATAAGGCGGAGGTCCACTGTAATAATGATTCAGAATGCTGCTGTTAGTTGGCACAGCTGATGCCAAAACATCCGGTAAGCAGTACACATGTTTACATCGCTGTACGAGCAGTTCTCTCGTGCTTGCTTGCATTTTTCTTTTACAGTCATTTGGCCAATTTTTTTTTCTAAGCATAGGTCCTAAGAAAATAAGTGCAAAGGACGGTGCTGAGAAGAAAAAGACGATGATTTCCATGGGCTTAGCCAGGCAATACCAGCTAAGTACATCTACGATATGTAGATACTAAAGCTGTATTAATTATGTTCAGTGATTAAACAAAACAATGTTGTTGTTGGAGGTTTACCGGGCCACTGACATCATACTCCACAGCCTCAACATCCCCCACCCTCAACATCCCTCACCCTCAACATCCCTCACCCTCAACATCCCTCACCCTCAACATCCCCCACCCTCAACATCCCTCACCCTCAACATCCCTCACCATCAACATCCCTCACCCTCAACATCCCTCACCCTCAACATCCCTCCCACAACAATCCCTCACCCTCAACACCCCCATCCTCAACCTTCCTCACCATCAACATCCCCCACCCTCAACATCCCCACCCAAACATCCCTCACCCCAACATCCCCCACCCTCAAAATCCCCCACCCTCAACATCCCCCACCCTCAACATCCCTCACCCCAACATCCCCCACCCTCAAAATCCCCCACCCTCACATCCCCCACCCTCAACATCCCTCACACTCAACATCCCCACCATCAACATCCTCACCTCAACATCCCTCCCCAACACCCCCATCCTCAACCTTTCCCCACCCTCAACATCCCTCACCCTCAACACCCTCACCCTCAACACCCTCACCATCAACATCCCTCACCATCAACATCCCCCACCCTCAACCTTCCCCACCCCAACACCCCCCACCCTCAACATCCCCCCCCCCCTCAACATCCCTCACCCTCAACATCCCTCACCCTCAACATCCCTCACCATCACAACATCCCTCACCATCAACTCCCTCACCATTTAACATCCCTCACCCTCAACATCCCCCATCCTCAACCTTCCTCACCATCACATTTCCCCCCTCCCAACCTTCCTCACTGTCAACATCCCCCACCCTCAACATCCCTCACCCAAAAAATCCCTCCACCCTCAACATCCCCACCCTCAAAATCCCCACCCCAACATCCCTCACCCTCAACATCCCTCACCCTCAACATCCCTCCCCTCAACATCCCCCATCCTCAACCTTCCTCACCCTCAACCTTCCTCACCCCAACACCCTCACCCTCAACATCCTCACCCTCAACATCCCTCACCTCAACATCCCTCACCCCCAACATCCCCCATCCTCAACCTTCCTCACCCTCAACATCCCTCACCCTCAACATCCCTCACCCTCAACATCCCTCACCCTCAACATCCCTCACCCTCAACATCCCTCACCCTCAACATCCCTCCCCCCTCCCCAACATCCCCCATCCTCAACCTTCCTTACCATCAACATCCCCCATCCTCAACCTTCCTCACCATCAACATCCCCCATCCTCAACCTTCCTCACCATCAACATCCCCCATCCTCAACCTTCCTCACCCCAACATCCCCCACCCTCAACACCCTCACCCTCAACATCCCCCACCCTCAACATCCCCCCACCCTCAACATCCCCACCCTCAACATCCCTCAACATCACCCTCCCCTCACCCTCAACATCCCTCACCCTCAACATCCCCCATCCTCAACCCTTTCCTCACCCTCAACCTTCCTCACCCTCAACATCCCTCACCCTCACATCCCCTCACCATCATCCCTCACCATCAACATCCCTCACCATCAACACCCTCACCCTCAACCTTCCTCACCCTCAACATCCCTCACCATCAACACCCTCCCCCATCAACATCCCTCACCCTCAACATCCCTCACCATCACCTTCCCACCCCACTCCACCCCCAACATCCCTCACCACTCAACATCCTCACCATCAACATCCCTCACCACAACATCCCCACCCTCAACATCCCTCCCCTCAACATCCCTCGCCCTCAACATCCCTCGCCCTCAACATCCCTCGCCCTCAACATCCCTCCCATCAACATCCCCACCAT